TTACCTTTTTGGCCTTTAACAATTAAAAGGTTATTTTCATTCATCTCATTAATCTTAACGCTTTAAGATATAATAATTAAATATAATTAATTATTGCTTGACCATTTTAACCCTTAAAATGTCACAAACAATTTTCTATGTAACTATTACCATAGAAATCCTGTCATTACCCTCGGAAGGTGCTAGCCCTCTTCGGATAATCATTTCTCTCTCTTATCCTTCTCTAACTTCTCAAGGCTATTGGTGTGACCATGTAGGTCCACCGTGGATTAGTCGTGAGCTAGTCCTGGATGAATCCAGAAACCTGTCCGGAGGCCCAACGACTATCATAAACATCTAGCAATGTGCCATAGTCCCTAAACCACGATGAAGAAATACTTCATCGAACCCATTTCAGATCATATGTACCATGCAAGTAAAGTCCCTCCATTGATATATCCTGATCGAACATGGATTCATGGAATGTCAAAATCCTAAACTCGATCTTCTATCGAATCGTCAATCAATATGTCTGGAACTCGTCATCACAAACTTGCTTTTGTATGACTAATAATAGACTCTGGCTAGAGATTCTGATTTCTAACATTTATCAACGTTCGACTAGGAACTCGAATCTGAATAGAGTCAATGGTACTCCTAATCCTATATTTTCGAGTCAATGGATCCCTTCTTGACCATCGTTCGTTTCCGTATATCAACAATGCATGACCAAATAGGCTCTATCATATGAAACATGACTAGTCTCTTACTTATACACTGTATGAACCATACGCATCCGTATCAGATCCGACCACAATGTCTCAGGTCAAAGAACTACATCGTGCACTGATATAACCAAACGATAAATCATTGACTACATGCTTTTCCAAGTGATTTGTCGTTATTCGGTCACGTTCAAAAAAACAGTTCACCAACCACTAATCCATACCAATGCCCCAATGACATGACTATCATCGTCATCCGTACTTATATCAACTCGTGATATCTTTTGGAAGCATCCTATATAGTTTCCCAAATTATATTGCTTCCATAGGGAACCCTTTTGATAATTCATTTACAGATTAAATGAATCATCTAGACAATTCATATACGTACTTTATTTTAAATGCATGCCTGAATAAAGGAAGCAATTTATATATATAGGAATTGAAGAGCTCTTTCTTCTATTATTTATGATAGATAGATACAAGACAAAATGCTCTGAAACTGACAACACGAATGGTTTCTAGAGCATACACTAATATACACTAACATGTGACTAGCCTGGGCTTTGATTAGGTCTTGATGGAAAGCTAGCTGAAATGAGGTTTTGTGCTCCTGAGCTTGGATAGGATAATGGTGAAAATCCAATTGGTTGGTGACTTCTGTTGGGGTGACAAGGAGGTAAAGGTGAACTATGAGTGAAGTATGGTAAGTTTTGAAACCCAACTTGAATTCTGGAATAACTGTTATCAAAATTTGGTGGTCTGACTAGTGAGTTATTTCTTCTAGTGTAGCTTGTGTCAAACCGATGATAACAGTTCAATGCAAGGTGTCCACTTTTTCCACAAACTTGGCATATAACTCTGCCTCTTCCAGCTCCTCTGCCTCTTCCCATCACACCAGTGATTTGTGAGGGATAAAAGTGGTTCTGTGGTGTTGGGTTGAAACCAGTACCACATTGATGAGGAGCAAAATTTTAGGAGCTGAGATTAGGGTTCTGTATAGGTGAAAACTGATAATGTCAAGTATTAAGCGAGAACTATTCACTCTGATATTTTGTTTGAGTTGTATCAGTAGTGAGATTAGCAAGATGAATTGAGCCTCCATGAAATTCAGTGCTGACAACTAAATTTGCAACTAGATTTGCTCTTTCTAACCTTAACTCATATTTTTGCAAAATAATATGTGCTTCCTAAACAGAAATAGGATCTATCCTAGACTCCAATCTTGTAGCAATAATTACTACAACAACATCATACTCAGAACTTAAACCATCAATAATGTCGTTCATTAGTTCTTCATTAAAGATTAAAATTCCACTAGCTGACAATGTTTCAGCAAATCCTTTCATCTTTACGAAATATTCATGGATACTAAGATTATCTTTCTTAGTGTTTTGCAACAAACTCTTAATGTGCACAGTTTTAGTTCTAGATTCCGTAAGAAATTCTTTTGCTAGTACAATCCACATATCAGCAGAAAATTGACACTTAGACACTACTGAGAACATAGATTCTGATATAGATCCAAGAATCCAACTTACTAATAGCTTGTTTGTCTTCTTCCATTGATTATACGCTGGATTAGACTTCTTCTCTGTCGACCCCTCAAGGCCTTCAATTGGAACTTTAACGAATGGTGTTGGACATGAAATCAGTCTAATAAGATGCTCCTCTAAGTCATGGGAGCCCACAACAATAAAACTTGTGATTTCTAGAACCTGTAATTATCCCTAGTTAATTTGGGGGAAATTATAGGAAGAGAAGAAGAAGACATTGATGAAGTGTTTGTAGAATTAACGAGCTCAATGGTCGATTTGATATCTGAGTTATTTTGATTGAGGAAGAATTGAGTAGGATCAGCCATCTTTGACGTTAGTCAACGGCTCTGATACCATGAGAGCTTTGAGAGAAAACAAAGAGAAAAATACAGAGAGAAAAACAAAGAGAAGGTTCTGAAAAATTCGCGTTTTACTTTGTTTTGTACAGTAAGTGCACTTTTTATAGTGCTCATAACAGTAGCTAACTAACACATAACAGTAGCTAACTAACTCAGTCTATAGGTTCCTTAACTAATCATTTTCTAACTCTTACTAACACGCTTTAATAATGACTTTGTTTAATGCAAAAATAAAATCTTTTAAGAAACAAATTTAATAAAACTATTCGTTAAACTCCCCTTCGTTTAGTTTATTTTGTGAATTTTGTAATAATTGCATAGTCAAAGTTATCCAAAAGATTTTCTCTTTTCCTTGTTTCAAATGGCACTCTCTCAAAGACGAAAAAGGATCTTAAAAAGACATGATTGAAAAACCCTTGAATTAGATTGTCTTTAGAAACAATCTAGGACTATTGTAGCTTGCCCAATCTTAATTATCCTTGAAGAGACTTATAAGAGTCATATGAATCAAGTAATAGCTTAAAATGCAAAAGAAACCAACTTTGGGAGAAGCACTCTACCCAACCTGAAGGGGAGAGAAGATTCTAACAAGGCCAGGACAACCATGGTAAAAAATTTGTATTCCTAGCCCAACAAATTGAATATATCAGGAAAGGTTTCAATGATTTGTACTGCTATAAATACAAGCGTGAAAAAACATTTGAGACACTCTTAAACCATGTATTTTATACCAAACACCTTGGTGAGCTTCAAATATAAAATATTTCTCACTTCATTTAGGTTTGTTTAGTACTATTTTATTTTACCTTTTCATGCTTTATGCTTATTTTTTTTTTATTTTTTTGTATTTATTTTAGGTTTTGAAATAAATACGGATAAAAAGGGAAATTTTGAAGCAAAAGGAGGAGAGAGATGTAAATTCTTAAAATTTTAGAGGCCAAGCAAGGGTTTTTCTCGAATTATCAGAGCATCTTTGGGTATTTTGGAGACAACATGAGCTATAGATATCGGAATCTCTTGGTTATTGCAGCGTTGGAAAACTAATTGAGAGAGCTAAAATTCTTATGTTTATGACTTCGCCCAAGTGAGCCGAAACCGGAGAGAAAATCATGACACAAGTTGACAGTATGGCAAAATCAAAATCTAGAAAAACAGGAGATGAAGGAATTCGTGGAGTAGCCATCTTCATAGTTTTTTCTTCTCTTCTTTCCTTTTTTTAAGTCAATGTTTTGTCAATTTGAAATTATGCTTTTCCTTTGTTCAAGTATGAACTAATTTCCTTTTGCTAGGGCTTTGATGTAGCCTCTCTTTGACGATTTGAATCCTTAAATTATATTGTTGAAGTTTTTATCAATCCTTGTTGAGTATGCATCACTTTACTTAATGCTTTTGAATGATTTGTTGTGCATGTTGAGAATAGTAAATATAAATTGTTTCTTGTGATGTGTGCCATGAATTGAATGAAAGACAGAGATGTGTCAATGTGATTTGTGTGGTTTTTATTCAAATACGATAGAACTTAATGTGCTCATATGATTTTAAATTCACATAGAGATATCATAGGTTATTATGAGTAATTTTGGTTCTACTTGAGAGAGGGTTTCAAATAGGTTAAGAGTATTTTGCTATTAACAATGGATGATAAAATTTCAGTAACATGTTTTTAGGATTTAGATTGAATTGGTTAGGTGAAATTGAATGCCTTAGCATTTTTGTCCATGGGTGATTCAAGCTTGTTAATTGCATTCTTTAATTGATTTTAACTTTTAATTTATAAAATTCGTAATATTTCAATTTTCATTGTTTTCAAATAATTTAAAACTGGAACAATTTTGACATTTAACAGGTAAACAATTTTCGTGAGAATAATACTCTACTCATTTAACTATATTACTTGAGTGACTAGTACATTTGCTATATTTTTCACTTGAGTGACTAGTACATTTGCTATATTTTTCACAACACACCTTGTGGCTTGACTAACTGACACCAAAGAAATCAATTTGCTGTTGCAATAAGCTTGGTCTTGGTAATGCAAGACCTCCTGCTAATTAAATCCTCAATCTTGGTACTTAGGATTTGTCAGACCACAATAAAATATGTTATTTTTGTTTTGTCTTTCTTTATCTCTTTTAACTTTATTGTAAACTAGGTTAACTGTATTTGCTCACCTAAGAGATTGTAAAGTCTCAAGTGTCACAGCAATGTCGAAAACTATTAAAAACCTCCTGAAATTACCAAAACCCCTGAAAACTATTATTCTTTCACATTATTGATCACATCATTAGAGCCCTTTGAGACTTGGCAATTAACCCGTGAAAACTATTATTCTTTCACATTATTGATCACATCATTCAATTGCTCACACCACTAAAAGTTGGTTAAAATTACAGACCACCTGAAACCCAATTGACCCACCGTCTTGGGTTGCATATACCTTCAGTAACAAGAGTTTTTGTGTTTCCACTGTTATGGTTGATGTCAAAGCTTTAATACCACATGATGGAGCAGTATCATATCTAAGTAAGTATTATCACTTTAAGTGTACCCATCTTCCAAACAAAAAATGGAAATAAGAAAATCAAGGCTACAATGAACAATTATCGGCCTAAGACCATACAGACATGGTTTCATGCACACACATGCATAAACAGTTGGAGATACCTTGAATTACTTTGTTGTCATCATCTTCTAAGCTGAATTAGAGTTTCCATGCTTATAACCTACATCTCGAGATGACCGACAATGGAAGTAGATGAATTGGATTAAAATCTAGAGAAGATGTTAAGGTCCGACACAAACTGAGAAATGACTTTTTTGTGCTGATGATGTTGTTACTGAGAATCTAGTAAGGAGATAATTCACGGTCAAGCACCTACACAACATTGAAATGTCTAAATATTTTACATTTTGCGAAGATGGAATTGTAGATCTAACTATGCATTGAAAAATTAAATGCCCCCTTTCCACTAGTCTAACTAAAAAGAGAATAAGAGATAATGATATTTAATAAGGATACAAAAGCATCAAGTAGGACACAGCCTCCCGCATCTACAAGCCATGGTAGATTTGGTCTGATTTTTGACCAATCCAAGTTGCTAACAATTATGCTACATGTTGACGCTTGATTTTGGACGCCAACGACTCGCACGTGAGAAGCGCTAAGCGGACTTAGGAATCACACGTGATGGATCCATGAGATTTGAATATGGAGCTGAGATTATATATAATGAAGAAAAAAAAAAAAAAAAAAAGAAAAAAGAGGTTTTTATAATGGTTCGGATGATAAACAAGCGACTCCTACATCCACTGTTATTTTATTGATCTCTGACTATTTCTATGATTTTGCCCATAAGGCATACAAAGATGAAGAAATACAGTGTTTACAGAGAGAAAGAATTGAGCTCTTATCTATGGTTAGCTCTCATATGCTTAGCCCCCCTCTTCGGAAAGAGGAGTGCCAATTTATACACCCTTGCACTCAAATGTAATGAGTATTTTGCAAGTTGCCTTGACACATGGAAGGCTCTCATCCATTCATTTCTTGAAAGGAGATAGGATTGGTAAGAATATCTTTGAGGAGATATGGGCTTGGCAGCTAGTATAGAAAGACATTTATTAGGCTGACATAAGCATGACTTTTGAGGCATAACAGAAGCCCCCTAGTTTTTGGAGTGCGTAATCGCGCTTTAGAAACTAAGGTCTTTGATCTGAATGGCTGCAATCTTGAACTGAAGAGCTTGAACTATTCTTGGCACGATCGAATGCTAAGAGCTAGGAGCTGATCGTGATCTATTAGGAGCTCGACTTGAAAGCAAAAGGAGCTCAATCTGAGCAAAACGAGCTCAACTTGAAAGCAAAATGAGCTCAATCTGAATAAAAACGAGCTCAATTTGAGATCATAACGAACTCAACGAACTCAATTTGAGCAAAACGAGCTCAACTTGAGAGCAAAATGAGCTCAATCTGAGCTAAACGAGCTCAACTTGAGCAAAACGAGCTCAACTTAAGCAAATTCATTTCTTGAAAGGAGATAGGGTTGGTAAGAATATCTTTGAGGAGATATGGGCTTGGCAACTAGTACAGAAAGACATTTATTAGGCTGACATAAGCATGACTTTTGAGGCATAACACTACAAAAGAAAACATATATATTCCTGTTAGAAGATCTGAGTAAGAAATCAGGCCCTGACATTGGGGTTCCAGCACAAAATATGAAAAAGTGAACATGATGAGTGGACAACAATAGAAAGACCCATGAGGATGAGAATGATAGATGGGACATATTCACCTTGCTACATATGTTGCATTACCACTCAAAGCGAAGAGAAACATTCGAGGGTTAAGGCACTGCAACATCATCCATGAAACAAAATCATGATCTTATTGAATTGTCTCACACACAGACACCAATTTTCTTTTGTTTGAACCACAGGATCAAGCAATCCCTTTCTCAAAAGAAAACAAAAGAAAAAAAAAAAAGAAAAAAAAGCCAAATTCCATTCCAAACAAACTTTCCATTTATATATACAATTGAATTTACTGAAAAAATATAATTTCAAACCTATACTTTCTTACCTCCACATTCCCCCTTCTCATCTGCAAATAATAGAACAAGATACAAGAACCAAAAGTTTCAGAAAGACAATAATGAAAACTGGTTAACGGGATATATAAATAAAAGAACAATTTGTCAGATTGAGAAAAGATGACGATAGACTACTACATCCATGCTTCAAAGAAATACCATAAAAAATAGTTTTGCTGACATATATATGGTTTATTTATACCAGCTCATATGTCTTTCCAATACCATACTGTTGTTGCTAATGCCGGAGAATGCAAAGAAAAGAAAGAGAGCACCTAAGAGAGATTAAGAGTAATCTTTTTCTGCATTGCCAACTGAGTTTTACATCATAACTAATAAAGCAAAAGTTTATTGTTGACAACTACTTTGCAGACATATTTTATCCAACATTAATCTAAAGCCATACATTAATACCAACTTACAACAAACATTATAGACACATCCCATATAATCTGGCAGTACAAATCTAAACCATTACAAAATGAAGCAAACAAGGCTGCCTCACAAAACTGACAGATGGCAGATTGCAATACACTTTGGCACCAGAACAGATTCAAAACAAGTTGACAAATTGCTACATTTCCAGCTAACTATTAGAATTTAACACTCCTCCTTGATAGTTGGCTGGAAACACCAAGTCTGAATCTGAATTCGTCAAACTTGGCTTTGGAAACAGCTTTAGTCATAATGTCAGCCACTTGTAATTCACCCTTGCAGTGCATCAATTCCACTTCACCATTTTATTCAGCCTCTCTCACTACATGAAACTTAATTTTGAAATGATTTGTACGTACATGATGCACTGGATTTTTGGCCATTGCTACAACATATTGGTTGTCGCACATGATGGCAGTAGGCTTGACCTGCTTCACCTTCAAATCTTTAAGAATCTTTCTTAGCCAAATGCCTTGATTCATAGCAACAGTAGCAGATATATACTCTGCTTCTGCTATGGATTGAGCCACGGTTTCTTGCTTTCCGGAAAGCCAACAAATAGCACCACAATTTAGAAAAAATGCATACCCTGAAGTGCTCCTCATGTCATTTGTTGAACCAGCCCAGTCACTGTCTTAAAAACCAACCAACTTGAAGTCTTTTAATCTCCTAAACCACACCCCAAGGTTAGTGTTGCCTTTCACATATCTTAGCACCCTTTTTGCAGTCTTGAAGTGAGTCTCGGTTGATTGACTCATAAATCTGGATAGCAAGCTTGTGGCATACATTAAGTCTGGTTTGGTTGCTGTCAAGTACAGTAGGCAACCAATCAAGCTCCTGTACAATCCTTCATCAACCTTCTCAACCTCATCACTTTTTGATAACTTCATATTTGGAACCAATGGTAGGTCCACTGGTTTACAATTCTCCATGCAGAACTTCTTAAGGACTTCACTTGCATACTTCCTTTAATTCACAAAAATATCATTTGTATCTTGACCAATCTCCATCCCAAAAAAGTATGACATTTCACCTAAGTCTGTCATTTCAAACTCACTGTGCATGGATTTTTTGAATTCCTCCACTTGAGCATTATTGCTTCCAATCACTAAAATATCATCCACATACAGAGAAATTATCATTACATCATCTTCGACTTCTTTAATGTATAAAGTGTGCTCATTTGGATTCCTCACAAAGTCTAAATTGAGTAGGTGGTCATTAATCCTGTTATACCAGGCCTTCAGTGCCTGTTTTAGGCCATATAAGGCCTTCTTCAACAAGTAGATTTTCCCTCTTCTCCTTGAATCTGATACCCTTCTGGTTGCTCAATATAAATCTCCTCATTCAACCAGCCATTCAAGAAAGCAGATTTAACATTCAATTGATGAATTTTCCAAGAAAATTGAGCTGCCACAGCAAGCAGCAATCTGATGGTATCATGCTGGGCAACTGGTGCAAATGTCTCTAGGAAATCTACTCCATATTACTTTGCAAATCCTTTAACAACAAGCCTGGCCTTATGCTTAAGAATTGAACCATTCGAATTTAACTTTTTTCTGAAAATCCATTTTACTTGGATTAACTTTCTGTTTTCTGGTCTGTCCACAAGCTTCTAGGTCTGATTTTTTTCAATCATGGCTAGCTCCTCCTTCATAGCAATCCTCCAGGGTTCTGACTTCACTGCTTCTGAGTAGCTTAAAGGTTCCATTTGTGCCATATTGCATCTGTCATACACATCAACCAGAGACCTTGTTCCTCTGACAAAAATCTCTTCATCTGATTCATCTCCTAGATTTTCTTCAACTTGATCAACTGGAGCTTCACTCAATTGAGGTCTTGTTTCTACATCAACCTTACATTTCTCCCAATTCCAGACTCCACTCTCATCAACTGTAACATCCTTGGAAATAAGTATTTTCTTTGAGTTAGGAATGTATATTCTATAAGCTTTGGATTGGCTGCTGTAGCCAATAAAAATTCATGTTAAAGCCTTATCCTTCAACTTTGTTCTTTTTGCAGGTGGTACTAGAACATAGCATATGCTTCCGAAAATTTTCAGATTATCCACTGTTGGCTTAACTCCAGTCCAGGCTTCAAATGGTGTTTGACTGATCAAAGCTCTAGTAGGAAGTCTGTTGAGCAAGCACACCCCTGTGTTGACAGCCTCTGCCCAGAAGGATTTTGGAAGTCTTTTCTTAGCCATCATACATCTTGTCATCTCCATAACAGTCTTGTTTCTCCTTTCACTAACTCTATTCTGTTGTGGAGTATAAGGGCTGCTGAATTGATGTCTGATTCCAGCCTCCTTGCAAATCATTTCAAACTCTTAAGAAGTGTATTCAGTACCATTGTCACTTCTCAAGGTTTTGATAGTCTTTCCTGTTTGGTTTTCCACCAGCTGTTTGAACTTCTTGAATACTCCAACCACCTCATTTTTCTGTCTTAGAAAGTAAACCCAGCACATCCTGGACCAATCATCTATGAACAATACAAATATCTACTTCCATTTAGGGATAAGGTTTGCATGGGGCCACACACATCCGAGTGAACAAGCTGAAGTTTTTCAGAGGCTCTCCAGGCTTGATTCACCGGAAAAGGTTTTCTACTCATCTTGCCTGTTTGACATGCTTGGCCGACTTCTTTTGGTTCTTCAACAATGGGCAGATTCTGAACTAAGTTTTTTGACTGAATCTCCCTTAGACTTATATAATGTACATGGCCTTTTTCTTTGAAATTGTCTTGACAGTGTTGCCCACTCCTTCCGCTTCTTGACACTCCTTCAGAACGCCTCTCATCTACTACCTACAAAAACATTGAAAATAACAGGGTGAGTACTAATTGCTCAGTAAGTAAACCTACTAGGCTACTCATTTCTCTCTGTTGTTCAACTTCTGAATTTCTTTCCTTACAACACATTTCTTTCTTTTTCTCTGTTCTTTCTCTACTCTTTTTCTTTCTCTCTATTCTTTCTATATTCTTTCTCTCTGTTCTTTCTATATTCTTGTTTCTCACTTACTAACAAGTAAGCATAACTGGAGAAACTAATTCTGAATAATATGAATGCCATGATGCATATGTATAAATGCATAAAGAATGCAATTTCTTTTATGTTTTATGTTTCTCTTCCGTTCTTTCTTTCTGTGTTTTATTCTTTCTTTCTTTTTGTTCTGTTCTATTCTTTCTTTTTGTTCTTTCTTTCTATTCTTTCTTTCTATGCTGATCGGACTTAGTTGAGGCATGGATTCGGAACCCTAGCCATGTGAGTGGGTAAAGTCCTCATCTACATGCACTTCTATCGGATTGTACAACTCTTCTTTCTGATTCTGAGGCCGCTCACTAAAGGCGGCATGCATGTAGGTAAATTTTGTTGGTACAGTTCTCATCCACATACACTTCTAACGAACTGTACACTTACTTCTTTCTGATTCTGAGGCCGCTCACTGAAGACAGTGTGTATGTGGGACTATTCTTCTCTGTCACTCACGGGTTCCCCAGAGCAACAACCTTCACTTCTCTTTTATTTTTACATTTCTTTAAGTAAAATTGCAGATTTGAATTCTTCTTTAAGTATATTTCTTTAGATAATACTTCTACCTTTAATTCTTTTCTTTTTTTTTTCTTTATTCTTTACTATTCTCATCCATGTGTATGTGCATGGAACTATGCTCGTTCTTTGCTATTCTTTCTAGATGCAAATGTGAGAATGAGAGAATGCATTATGGCATATAAAAAATATCATTAGAGAACTAGTATTTTTTACCAACAACATTCCCATACTTGAAATCAATCATAGATTATTAGACTAAAAATATTTAGAGGTAGTCATTCTACACAGGTCATATTTAAGAAGGCATATCTCGAGTTATACGCATCGGATGGCTACAATATTGGTCTCTAGAGAAAGGGCTACAACTTTTATGTTTAGGTCTCAACCCAATGTAATCGGTAAGATGCCCAAAAATCACTCAGAAGGTCACGGCTGTGACAGGGCAACCATGGTAACATGTTTTCTCTTAGGATTTTCATCAAACAAGTTGCATGCATACTCAAACTCTAATTTGGCTATACTTCTGCTTCTTTCTCAAGCCACCAATATTTGGAGCAAAACTCCCTTAAATCAACACTAAACCTAGCTAGGAAAATACACTCCATAAGTCTACTCAAACTCTTTCTAAATTCAACCAAACTTCCATCAATCACCATATAGGCAAAGTCTAAATTCTCATGGCTGAATTTCAATTATCAATCTCATCAAAACTTCTCAAAAACATAAGCACATACATACAAGTACAAATCTTTACACACTTACTCAAATCAAACTTAGGGTTGGATTTACTTACCTTGATCTTGGGTAGTTCCACACTAGAAGCTTTCTCTTTGGGTAGATCTCCTCTCCTTCTTAAACCCTAAGCATATAACTATAAGAATTCAACACTTTAAAAATTAATCTCACGTCATATTGCAAGAACTCTTACCTTTGGATGTTTAGGATTGAATATCTACCAAAAATCCTCTAAATTGGCTTGGAAATTTAATGAAGAAAATGAGAGAATTTGGAGATGAAAGTGGCATGTGAGAGAGTAGATAGGGTTTTCAAGAATGAACCCAAGATATCTCATTTATTACTTCTACTTTCCCATTTTGCCCTTGCACTTTCTATGAAATTCCATCTATGTCCCTTAGTCAATTACAATAATGCGCTCATTTTTATTAACTTCTCCATGAAATTCTATCTCTTTTTACTCCCTACTTTTTCAACTAATTATGAGTGAAAAGACCATTTTACCCCTAATGAAATTTTAAGGCATTTTCTTCACATTTTCTCAAAATAACTTTAACAAAAAAAATCAACTAAGGGTATAAGGGCATAAGTTAAGTTACATACCTCAATGTGGGCATTACAATCTATCCCACACTAAGGAGACTTTGACTTATATCAGGTGCATAAAGTACATTAGAGATTAACTTCATACCTTTTGGTGTCTGGACAACAACATCTCCTTTCCCTTTTGCTTCCACAAACTCTCCATTTCCCACTTTGATCCTTGACCGATGTGAGTGATCCAGGTTCACAAAACTCTGCAAATATGGTGTCATGTGATGTGTACATCCACTGTCAATCAACTAGGTTTCATCACATGCTTGGATCAAAGTGGATGAGGCCACAAATAACTGCTCTATCTCCTGCCCTGGATGTTGTTTATCAGCTGTCTGAGCTTGCTTTGGGGTTGCTCTCCCTTGTTTTTGTAGACTCTTTAGATGTGGCCAAATTATTTGCAAGCCCTACATTGTATTCCTGGCCTGAACCAACATCTATTCTCTGCATGTCCCTTCCTTTTATAGTGAGAATAAGCTGGAAAATTTTTCATTCCGCCAACTTTGTTCCATTGAACATTGGACCTTTCTTTTCCTTTCTTATCTCCAGCAAACCTTTTGTTATTTCCTTATGTAGACTTGCCCTTGTGAGCTGCTAACATTGCCCCTTCACTCGCATCCTCTAGCCTTAGGAGCCTTCTCTACTCTTGTGCCTGCAGAGCATGGACCAGCTCAATCAAAGTGATCTGATTAAGGTCTTTTGAGTCCTCCAAAGATGAGATTTTTGCTTCAAAGCTTTTCGGTAAGCTTACTATCACCTTCTCCACTATTCTTTTATCTGTCATCTCCACTCCAAGCAACCTGATTTTGTTGACTATATTCATCAACCTGTCAACATATTCCTTCACTTTCTCAGTCTCCTGCATTCTCAATGTCTCAAATTCCCTTCTCAAATTTAGAACCTACATGTTTCTTGTAGTGTCACTCCCCATGAACTCCTCTCTTAACTTGTCCCAAGATTCTTTTACTGTTTCGCATGCCATGATCCTTGTAAAAACAAGGTCTATGACAGCTGAGTGAATGTGGGACAAGGCTCTTGGAGCCTTTGAAACTTCTTCTTCATGCAACCGGATTTGGTTGAGTGTGGGATTTGGTCCTAACTGAGGGGGTTGTTTCTCCTTTTCTACATACTACCAGAGTCCTTGACCCCTCAGATATGCCTTCATTTTGACTGCCCATATATGGTAATGCTCACCATTAAATACAAGAGGTAGAAGAGAGGTAGTCTGAGTGGCCATTGATTCAAGAGAACAAGTCTGATGCAAGACAGTTTTCCGGAGAGATAGATAAGCTGTTCAAGAGAAGGAAATGGTTCAGATTTTTTCAGCTCAAGTAACCAAGCTCTGATACCATTTTTTTGTTGCTAATGCCGAAGAATGCAAAGAAAAGAAAGAGAGCAACTAAGAGAGATGAAGAGTAATCTTTTTCTGCATTGCCAACTGAGTTTTACATCATAACTACTAAAGCAAAAGTTTACCATTGACAACCACTTTGCAGACATATTTTATCCAACATTAATCTAAAGCCATACATTAATACCAACTTACAACAAACATTATAGACACATCCCATATAACCTGGCAGTACAAATCTAAACCATTACAAATGAATCAAACAAGGTTGCCTCACAAAACTGACAGACGGCAGATTGCAATACACTTTGGCGCCATAACAGATTCAAAACAAGTTGACAAACTGCTACATTTTTAGCTAACTATCAGAATTTAACACATACAATTTCTATTGGAAAAAAGCAGACACATGCAAACATCATCTATATATTCATATGAAACATGAAAACCGATGGACACTTATTTTTGCAGATCAGGAAAACCTTACTACAATAAATACTACCATAAGTCAATTAAAAAGTAAAGCTTAACATTCAAACAAATTTGGGGAAGCCGTCCACCCATATAAATTGCTGCCATTGCCCAACCAAGGCAACTTCCAATTCCATTGCTTCCTTCAATACCATTTCCTTGTAATAGCCCACCCTGTACCTGAAACTGAAATCGCATACAAGATAAAAAGGAAATAATAAAAAATGAAAAATAAACAAACCAGTAGGAAAAAACTAGAGTGAATCTTAAAGAAAAATGGCAAGGAAAATGGAGCCAGTGATCATTCAGCAACTTTGGTTTTCCCCTTCAACGTACGTTAAACTCTATTTCTTTTCTACTAAATAAATAAATGATTTCCCTTTCTTTTTTTTTTTTTTTTTTCGTCTTTCCCATCTTTATTTTTTGTTTTTCAACTAGAAATGAACACAAAATTTATTAATGATCAACCAGCTATGGCTGAAACCGACTTGCCACTTTGTCAATTTAAAGTTCCAAGGTATAGCCATTAATCGACATGCTGTAGCCAACAATGAAATGATCTAACCACATCCATACACTCTAAACCTAATCTGCTAGTGCCATACAAAGAAAACAAGATAGTAGCTTGAATTACCTGCAACAGCTTTCTCCCAACTTGAATCACAAATCCTTTATTTGATTTCTCAAACTCAATGTTATGATAACCGCTAGCTAAGAATTCAAGATTAACAGTTCTAAGAAATATCATTATTGAGACCTGAAATAGAAATATGGAATCAAAAAAATTATGTTCCATAAAACTGTTTGTTGATTCCATCAATTATTGTAAACTTAAGAGTGGCTGCATAATCTCACCAAGCATAGCATGGTTTTGATGTTTGGAGAAGGTGCAGATTGTGTAGAAACTTGTCCACCAAGCAAGGGCTGTTCAATGGAAATCCCAGAATGATCAGAGGTGGGACTCATTCTTTGTACTAACAAAGATCCAGCCGTAGGTGTATGACTCCTTGATAGAGATCTGGCAGACCTGATGAATTTACAAAGAAAAAGTATTACATTATTATCACTAACCATTATGAAATGTTTTTTTAATCAGTGTTCTAGAAATATAAACTTCCTTTTGGTTGGAAATCCATTCTATAGAAGGCGAAAGCCCTCATCAAAAGTGCAGTTGATATTCAAATTTCACCCAAATATGATGCCCTTGTAGGGAAAAATAAGCATCAAATTCGCCTAAATGACAGCAAAGGTAAACATAATATTTCCAGTGACCCAATTATATGCACAAACAAGAGATAAGTTCCTTCTTAAAAAAATAAGAAAGCATGAGAAAACTCAGTTTTGAAATTTCTATCTTCAAGTGTCTCCTGCATCTAACTCAGAATTTTTTTAGAAGTACCAAGATGCTTTTAACTACACCCAGAGGAGTACTCACGGAGCAAAATATGCAAAGAAAATGAGGCATAGAGATTTGTGCATCTAATAAGAGAACTATAATATGTTTAATTAATGGAACACAAATTCACAGAGTGATAGAATTTGAGGTGGGCTTGACTCCTCACCCAATAAGGTCATGTTGAATGGGATAATTACCCCCTCTTATAAACCAGTAGGCTTGAGCGTACCTAGTCGGTGTCGGACTCCAACACTCCCCCTCACGGTTAAGCCCATATGTTAGGTCATGCCTATTATTGGAGGTAGTTGTCGGCTCTAACTTCTCACCCGCTGGTCAAGCACTCAGCTCAATTAAACCTAGGCTCTGAAACCATGATAAAATTTGAGGTGGGCCTAACGCCTCACACAATAAGGCCTTGTTGAATGGAAGGATTATCCCCTCTTATAAACCAGTAGATTTGAGTATGTCTAGTTGGTGTGGGACTCCAAGAGAGAGAGAGAGAGAGAGAGAATGAGAAAGATTGTTAGTCTTCTGACTGTCGAACAAAGAGAGAAGAATATCTTAAGTCAGATGATCCCAGTGTTCTCGATAGCAATGTTTGCAATCATAGGTTCATACATATTCCTCACAGAACTGTTATAAGTAGTATGAAGAAGTTGAGTGCTCTGAACACCTGATTCGGAGTTATGAAGAGCTCAAAGCTGTCAAACTGACAGAATGTTATACAAAAGACTAGTTTTTATATTGAGGAATGCTAGTAGTCTCTTTTTCAGTCTCTCTCATTACACGTGTACACGAGATGAAGGAAGTGCAAGTTGGTAATATATTCTTCCTTTGTCTCTTATACACGTCCTCTAGTGCAAAAGAAAGTATTTTTAGCATTTGTTTTGTATAATTCCTTCTGTTTTGAAGTCTAAGCACAATCAAGGTCGGAATAAATAGTTTGACATTTACGAAGTTCTTAATCTGCATAACTTCTTTACAGGTCAGGAAATCTCTTACCTTGTTAGAGAAAATAAAATTCAAACTTTTAGAGAGCCTAAGTATTTCAACATCAACAACACAAAACACACACACACACATATAAAGTGTGTTTGATGCTGATAATCAGAAACTAGAGCACAATGATATCTACTGAAGAAATCAAGGTAGAATTTTAATTACATGTAGTATAGTTCTCTTCCAGGAGACATAGTTCTAGGAAGTGCTGGAAGAGGAATAGGTGAACTCGGAGCATTATCTCTGTCTAAAATGCACAACCCGCTTTTCCGTTTGTCAGAATAGTTTACTTGTTTTCCAACATCATTACTGCTTTGTCCAGTCTTATCTGCTGATTCAGTTTGGATAGGCTTGAATCCTTAAAATACAAAGCATTTAAAGTATAGTCATGCAGTCAATCACACCCATTAAGTCTAGAATGCTTCAACTTTAATAGCATTTACTATTCTCTAAAATAAGAAACTAGCAGTTAAAAATACCCGAGAAAGTAGAAACATAACAAAGATAAACATCGTAAAACCACTGCAAACAAAGAGGGAACAAGAAAATATAATTATCTAAAACTCACTCTCTAATAAGGTGAAAACATTTGATATTTTCTACAAGCACCTATTAGTCAAGCAAAGCTAAGTTAGACTTGTTCTACAGACACAAGGACTTACAAAATTGATAGGCCCCAAAGAAACTTGTTCCTAAAATTCACCAGAACTTAAGACTAACAATTTTCACCAAATAAAAGTTTCAACAATTCCAATCCTATAGTTGATCTAATCCAAGATGATTAAAAATGGAATTATGTTGATATTTGAAGTTCTTCATTACTAACTAATCTACAACAGTACTCTAATTGCATTGATAGTTAACGTTAAATTAAATGAGTGACTAGTGTTAAGCAAAGTTCCTGTGAGGAAAAAGAGAAATAGAGTAGTTTTAGAGAAGCTGGGTCTATTTTGTAATGATTGTGCAAACTATGTCGCTTAAGTGCAATTACGGAATACTTTAAAAGCACTACCGTTTTTTACACAACTATGGCTATATAAGTGCTTATTACCTGTAACAGAATTCAGTTAATGAAAATTCCAGATTTCCTATTCTTCTTCGTACTGAAATTTTCTTTCCATTTTTCTTTCTTTGATTCTACAATATCCTTTATGGTATCAGAGCCCTAGACCAACGTCTAAGGTAAAAATTTTCTTTTATCTTGAAGATTTTCATGTAATCTTGGAAACACAAACATGGAGGTTCATAGCTCCAGCTCCAATTTCACTACTTTAGGAGTTCCACCTAGTCTACTTGCTATCTCTGTAAAATTGTTAGAGAAAAACTATTCATTCTGAAGGTCACAAATCCTACCAGCGTTGACATCTCTTGGTCTTAAAGGTTTTGTTACTGGTGAGAAAGAGTGTCCACCGATGATTTTGTTGGAGAAATTGGATGATTCAGGATAGACAGTGAAGAAGCAAAACCCTAGCTATTTTGCTTGGAAGAAAATTGATGACTTCCTGGTAAGCTGGCTTTACTCTACTATCTCTGAATCAATGTTTCGGCACATAGCTAAGTGCACTACTTCATATGAAATATGGAACATTTTAGAACTTCATTTCCAGTCAGTATCTAAAGCTAGGACCTTACACCTAAGAAACTTATTACAGACTGCTAAGAAAGAAGGTTGTAGTGTGAGGGAATATGTATTAAAAATGAAAGAATTAGGAGATAAATTGGCTACAAATGGAGTGAATATCACAGATGAAGAACTTTTGTTGTATACATTAGATGGCTTAGGGCCAAAGTATGATGTTGTGGTTGCTAACTTGACAGCTTGTTGTAGTCAAACGACACTACAAGAAGCCCAATTCTTACTTCATAAACATAAAATTAGACTAGAGAGACAACAAAGTTCTTTGTCCAATTTTCATGAGCAAATGGCTCCAGCTCTTTTGGCTTCCAACCAGAGTCAGATAGAGTCTCATTCAGCTTCTCAAAATGTTTCTGGTACTAATATTGGGAATTTTGGTCACACTCACAATTTTACCAATTTCAGCCTCAACCGATGTCTAATTTCCAAACTCCAGATCAATCTTTTCTTCACCAACAGATGCCTAGTAACAATCAGCTTAGAGGAAACAATTTAAACAATGGAGTTCAGTCAGATTTTAATCCTTCATATTCTCCTCAATACTCAGATTGGGAATGGTTTTACTCATGTGAATCAGTTTCACATGTTTCATTCTGGAATGATGAGAAGTAGAGGCCGAGGAAGATGATATTTTAGGCCTAAACTCATTTGCCAAGTATGTGGTAAGGGAGGACACACAACACTATAGTGCCATCATAGATTCCATGAATATCTAGGTTTCTCAAGTCCCAAATCAGTGCTTGGATCTTTTGCTTTCAATGGTCCACAAGTTTTAGCTCCAGCTCATTCTACTGAATCAGCACAGGCTTCTCTCACTACAGTCATGCCAGGACAATTCATCCACGGGCCTGTTTCTAGAAATTTTAATTCCTCTATCACTACTATTTTTGCTTCACAGGCAAATTCACCACAAAACTATCTAGGTTATTTTGCTTCTGCACTGCAATCAACCTCTTATTCTCAACAACAACAGATTTTTGCTTATCCCTCATAACACTCTATTCCTCAGCCATCTTAGAATACTACCTCATCAATTGGAAGTCAAGGCACTAATACATGCCATCCTTCATTCAAAGGATAATGGAGTAATAGTTGAGTTTCATTTTGATCGTTGTCTTATAAAGGATTAGAACCCCAGAGATGTACTCCTTCAAGGTTCCTTGAAGGATGGCTTATAACAATTGGAAGCTTCCCTTCCTGTTGTGGTTTCCTCTTCTGCTATGTTTGCTCCGGCTGCTTCCTGTCATGTGGCTGCTTCTTCCACTCTCAATGATAGCTTTAGTCATAATAATAAGACAACTGTTGTATTACATATGGATCAGTCTAATGTAGTTGATAATTCAATAATGGTGTGGCCTGCTAAATTGGCACATCCCCTAGAAAGAACTCTTAAGCATGTAATAAATAAACTCCATGTACCTAGAATGTCTAGTTATAATAAAACTTTTTGTGAAGCCTGCCAATTTGGCAAACTGTCTCAGGCTTTATTTCCTTCATCGAATTCTAAGACTTCCAGACCACTTGAGTTGGTTTATTCAAACCTATGGGGCCCTGCACTAGTGTGTTCTTCAAAAGGATTTAAATACTATATGTTATTTGCGGATGATTACAACAGATACATGTGGATATATCCTTTGAAATTCAAGTCTGGAGCCTTTAAGGTTTTTACTAGTTTTCATGTTTTTGCTAAAAAAACAATTAGATGCTAAACTGAAGAATCTTCAAACCAATTGGGGAGGGCAGTTCAGATCTTTTACCTCGTACCTAGAAACTCATGGCATAGGTTTTAGACACCCCTGCTGTAATGCTCTCTCTCTCTCTAGCTAATATACTCATAAAATAAATAGTAAAACTCACTAAATATGTGTATATATATAAGAAAATATACATGTGGATGAGTATAAAATAATGAGCCCATAACTAATATTTCTTTATATACAAATCTTTACATAATGTAATAAAGTCACAAAATATCAACTCGATAGTGTTGCCAAACCCTTCCGCTTCTTGACATTCCAAGTGACCGCATCTCACCTACTACTTGTAAAAACATTGAAAACAACGGGGTGAGCACTAATTGCTCAGTAAGTAAACCCTTTATGCTACTCTTTTATCTCCGTTGCTCATATTCTGAATTTCTTTCCTTTCATCACACTTCTCTATTCTTCTATGTTCTTTCTCAATTTCTAATTTCTCACTACTCATGATAGTAGGCATGGTATCATGCATAGGTATGATGCAAGTGCACAAATGCATAGAAGGTGCATTTTCTTTTCTGTTTTTCTATTTTCTATTTCTTTTCTATGTATTTCTTTCTATGCTTCCTTCCTTCCTTTCTATTCTTTGTTTCTTTCTATTCTTTTCTTTCTTTTCTATTCTTTCTTTTCGTTTCTATTCTTTCTTTCTTGCCGATCGGACTCGATTGAGGCATGGATTCTGAACCCTGGCCGTATGAGTGTATTCTCTAATTCTGGGTACAATACTCTTCCACGTGCACTTCTAACAGATTGTACAATTCTTTTTCTGATTTTGAGGCCACTCACTAAAGGCGGCATGCATGCGAGGCTAGGTCACTCACGAGTTCCCCGTCGCAACAACCTTCTCTTCTCTTCTCTTCTCTTCTTTAAAGTGTTCTTTAATATTTCTCTTTTCTTTCTCTTTGTTTTTTAATGTTCCTTAACGCTCTTTAATGTTGTTGTGAGTATGTATGCATGTAGATGGGCTCATGCTTATTATTCTTTCTAAATTCACATGTTTGGATGCAATAATGCAATATGGAATGTGAATATGTCATTCTCTACCATCTACAAACTCATCTCAAGATATCAAATAATCATAATCATGCATGAACTTCTCTTTGACATTTCATCAAACAATTTGTATACACACGCAAACTCTCAATTGGCTACACTTCTACATCTCTCTTAAGCCACCAAAATTTGGAACAACACTCACTAAAATCAACGTCAAACCTGGCCAGGATTTACACTTCATAAATTATACTCCAATTCTTCCATAATTCATCCAAACTCTCATCAAACATCAAATACACAAACACTACTTCTCATGGATGAATTCTAACCATCATTCAACATCAATTCCGTCAACAATTCTTTACATATAAGCACATACATACATAAAAGAAGTTCTCTACACAATATTACTCCAATCATGACTAGGGTTGGATTTACTTACCTTAGATGTGAGCAATCCAACACTTTAGTAGTCTTCCTTGACACAACTCCCTTTCTCTTAAACCCTATGAACACAAATAATAAGAATTCAACACTTTAAAAATTAAATCTCACATCTTAGTGCAAGGATCTTACCTAGGGATGCTTGGGATTGAAATTCCACTAAAAATAAACCAAGATCTATGAACTTTCCTTGAAAAGTGATTGAAGAAATTTGAGAGAACTTGGGTGGAAAGTGGCGTGAATGGAAGGGGAAGAATGGCTAGGGTTTCACTCTTGAACTCTTAATATAACAAAATATTACTTATTAGCTTTCCATTTTACCCTTGCACTTTCTATGAAATTCCATCTATATCCCTTAATCAATTACCAAAATGCCCTTATTTTTATTAACTTCTCCATGTTATTCTACTTCTTTTCACTCCCCACTTTTTCAACTAATTATGAGTGAAAAAACCATTTTACCCTTAATGAAATTTTAAGGAAATTTTCTTCACACTTGTTCAAGATAACTTTAGCAAATTCAATTAAAGGTATTAGGGCATAAATAAAGCTACATACCTTGATGTGGGCGTTAC